TTTTATCTTGTGTCTTTCTTGGTTTTTCAAGCCTTCTCATAAGGCTTTGATTATTGTAGCAGACCCTTTAACAGTGAGAATCTTGTTTTCTTCTGCTTTACAGACCATGGTATGCCTTTTATTGCAAATGATTTTCTATACTTTCAACTTTTTAGAGAGGTTGATGAGAGTTTCCACAATAAAAGTAGAACAATAAAAGTAGAAGTGGCTGCTTACCTGTGGCATGAGAGGTCAAAATTACATGTCTCAAAGTTTTCATTAACAGAAGCCTCAAAGGAGTGTCACCAAATTTAATAGTGCTTTTTGTATTAATTTTCCTAATCAATGCTTTCTGAATCTTGTAAATTGGTGCATAAAAATAACTCTAAAGTCACCTTCTGACATCAAACTCCTGTCTAATACTTAGTGGTAATTGCCTTAATTTCATTCTTGATTTGTCTTTAGCTTCTATTTAAGCCAAGTAGTCTTGGCTTTCTGAGACTGAACCTTTAATCTTCAAGGTGCAGGGTTATATTTTGACCTTTTAGATGGTACCAACTCTGATTCTTATGGGTTATTCAACACTACGTATCTCTGAGCTCCAAGAATAACTGTCCCAGGTAGACAGTCCCATTTCACAAATCATAAAAGCCATGTTACAACAGAGAGAAGCCAGGTGCAGGTGGCTCACACCTGTAATTCTAGCTACTCAGGAGGCTGAGATCTGAGGGTTGTGGTTCAAAGCCAGCCCAGGCAGGAACATTCATGAGACTCTTATCTCCAACTAACCGCTAGAAAACTGGAAGTGGCACTGTGGCTCAAGTGGTAGAGCTTCAGCCTTGAGCTGAAGACCCGAGGGATAGGGCTAAGCCCAGAGTTCAAGACCCACAACCGATAAAAAACAACAACAAAAAAACCCCAGAGCGAATATGGTTGCTGACAGGTTTACCAATTATGTGTTTTATGACTGGATGATGAACAGTATCTAAAATGTTGGAGTGAGTTGGTTCCAGATAACTTTGAGACTGTAGAACCCTACGATAGGTAGAGAAGAAAGGATTCCTCGTTTCCAACCCTGTAAATATCTCAGACCATGAAGATAAAGATGGTACACAGGAAGTATAAAGACATAGTATGACCAAAGTACTTGTATCATCTGAATGCAGAAAACACTCCTCATGTGAACACACCTGAACAGACCCAAACTACATCAACTAGTGTTCCAGATGGAAGTGGAATTCTACAGTTTTGAGTCAATATCTTTAAAAATAAGAACCGAATAGCCTTTGAACCCTTTGAATACAAGATATAATGCCTATGGCTGGATCTAGAGATGTAGCTCAACTAGAGTGCAGGCATAGCATATATGGGGTCCTAGATTCAATCCCTACAACCAAAAAAGAAATACAGAGAGAGACAGACAGACAGACAGGCAGGCAGGCAGGCAGGCAGGCATCTTGTTCCTGTAAAAGTCCTAGAAGATACATCCTAGACCTAAAAAGACCAATTCATCAAGCCAGGCTAGTACACTTGCACAAATAGAAAATGTTTGATGGCATATGCTCGCCCGCTGAACAGCACAATGTAGGATTCAGTTTTACTCTGGTCCATTCTGTTGTCACTGAGCCTGGCTTCCAAGGCTACTTCACAGGGCTCTGTCACTAGCTCATGGAATCCGTTCTAGCAGTGATATGGATAGAGCTACTGAAGCAGGAAGAACATGGATTGGTTTTGGCTGAAGGCTCAAAGGACACATTTGGGACAGTCAATCTCATAATTAAATGCAAATCAAGAAAATCTTCAGATGTCATCCACTTCAAAAACTCTCCAAAGAACAGTTGAAGCATTCAGGCATGGGAGCTGAGACTACAATGTAAGCACGGAGTGTCCTGGAAGGATATTTGAGCACTGATGGAATGTGAGTAGAGGTTAAATATGAGGGGTATTCATGAAGGACACTCATTTGTAATTCTGAGAAAATGAGCTCTGAGGGTCCCTGCTGTGCATGGGAGTGAGGAGTAAAAAACCCTCTTCTCTATGAAATGAGGCTCCATGGACAGGACCATGTCTATTAGAAATGAGAGAGAAGAAAGTTCTTGTTGCCATAAAAGAGACTAGAAACAGGATGAGTGGGTGAGGGTAGTAGGGTGAGAAAGGACCTAGTCTAATTGCAAGAAATCTACCAGTAGGGAAGCCATTCAGCCTGTTTTCTGTGACATTCACACATCAGAGCAGCTTTGAAAATCTAGCCTCTTTCCATTTTTCTTTCAACTGGGGGGGGCAGGGAAGGGGGGAGGCACTAAAGCTCAAAGCTGCTTCTAATCCTTCATCTTCTCAATGGAAAATGTACATGGAGAATTGAATAATATTCTTTTGGCACACTGATGTATTTTATCTGTTTGTCTTTTAAGGCTGCTGTAGAGTCAAAATTACTACTGTCTGTATCAATATTCTACAGATAGCAGTTCTGAGACACATGTTAGCCAGAGGTGAATTTTAAATTTTGGATTTGCTTAGCATATGTACGTAACCTACACATATTGTGCATTTATACATATATTACAAATTGGTCTAGTATATATCATATGTGTATGTACCCTATACTCTATGCATTATTATATTTAGGTCTAAGCATTTGACTATATTTTATCATTCCTCACAGCATGTCTTTTATTTCTCATTACATATTTTT